CCTGCCTTTCTACTGCTTACAGCAGTACTTTCACTAGTTGAATACTTTGCTTCCACAACCTACCTCTTTGGTCACAACCTAACCTTTTGAGTATTCAACTAGTGAAAATACTGCTGTAAGTAATAGAAAGGCAGGAAGTGAGGTAGGCAAGTAAGGTGTAAAAGACTAGTTGTATTGTGTAGTTAATAATAATAAAGATGTTCCTTTAAAGTTAGCTAGTTAATCTAACTAACTATATAGTAAAAATTCAGTCTTTTTACTTTACTTGATTTACTAGATTAAACAACTTGATACCTTAGATTAGCTAATCAGACCAGGTCTGTAGGATCTAATTGTTTGACTCAGTAGTAATATATAGATTACACACTTACAAGGTAGTGATATATATCAAGTAGTTTGGCAAGGTTTAAAGATTTTAGGTAGTTTGATTTTCTATACCTACCCTATACTTGCAAGGTTACCCTAAACTTGCTAGGCTACCCTAGGCTTGCTAGGCTACCCTAGGCCTGCTAGGCTACCCTAGGCTTGCTAGGCTACCCTGGACTTGCCAGGCTACCCTGTCTTTAGGGTTAGGGTTGTCTTTGACAGGAAAGTCCTTTTGACTTTAAATGCAAATTATAAGGTGAGGAATTATTATGTGACTTAGCTACTTTGTAGCCTTATAAATAAGTCACTTATAATGCTTAATCAGTAGACCGCTTAGTCATTACTATTGTGGTTACCCTAATATATGGGTTTGAAGTTAGACTTATCAAGTAATATTTATAATATCTCTGTACTGGAAGTCCTAGCGCTAATATCTAAACGTTTATTACCCTGGCGGAGGTGTACTTGCGTCTGCACGCTAAAAGCCCCTATGTGCGCCAAATTCTTGGCCGCAACAACCCATGGGTAATAGGCACAGACTCGCCGTTACAGCGAGACTCCCCTGCGAAAAGGCCAACCTCTGGAACTCGTACAGTTGAAGTCGTCGGCGGTCGAGTTAATCTCGAACTGGTCTAGGAACCGGCCGTAGTTACGGATGTCGATCCTCCGGCGTTCCCAGAACGAAGGGCTGTCCTTCTTCCAGAATGTGAAGAGGCATCTTGTCCTGTGCCCCTGCTCACCCAACTAGATCTGTCCAGCATGTGATTGGATCCTCTTCGCATGATATGGCCCCTGTCTCACGCTGTTTTTGACTAACTATTTGCTTGGCATTTCTGGTCTAGGTAGTGACAGGGATGGCGCGGATGCAACCTAAATCTTTCTGTGTACGACGTATACATAGGTTGCTAGGTACCAAGCAGTACGGGGTAGGGTACAACCGTACATAAAGTCTGCCATGGCCCCCTTCACTCTCCCAACCCATTTTTTCCTTAGCACAACATGGAATCCGGGCCCAGCAACACACAGGCAGGGGCGGAAGATGCCCCAGAGATGCGAGTCGTGAAGTTGTGCAGGGAGCATCCCACCCTCCTCTTCTACAGCCTTCATTGGCCCTTGTTTGAGCCCATCACCGCCATCCAGGTCCTGGACGACCCCACCGACCCGTCATCGCAAAAGCGCCCCTTCCAGAACCCCGACGGGACATTCCACGCCATCGCTGCCTTGCCAATAACGAGCCCTCCTGTGGCCTTGGTCGAGGTAAACGTCAAGGAAATCGAGGAATCATATGACTCCTTCATCGACGAGCATTTGCGTAGTGTCGACGAAGAGTATGAACCTGAAGGCGGTGTCGACGGTGCCAAGTGCACATGCTGTGGCTTCCAACCTCTCCTACGACCCAAGCTTATGGTACATTCATCTTCTGCCAAGGGCGCAGACATAACGTTACGCGACTACGTGACGCAGCTACATGCGTGGCTCTTGAGTCTCGAAGACACCATCCTGCGCGCCGTCGCACAGCCCCCGCATCTGATGGGGGACGAGAAGCGGCCACCTGGCGGACGCTTCTGGGTACGCTTTACTGGGGCGCCGGAGAAGGTGTGGTTGAGCGACGAGAAGAACAATCCCAGCATGGAGAGCGTGTTTGATAGTATCGCGAGGATGGCAAGGCATGAACTCGAAGTATTCGACGAGACACCGCTGCCCGAGGAACCGACAGATGTTGATCCAGATGCCTTTCTCAAGTATTTGACCTGGATGGACACTGTTGATATCAGAAAGCCGCTTGACGCGCCCGGTCAGCCCGTAAAACCTCCGAATCCGTGGGATGGGTCCTGGGGGGCACAAAGGCGGGTCGAATCCCGTGCAGAAAGGCGAGCAAACATCCAGGCTCAGGCTGAGGCTCGGCTTCAGGCTCAGGCGGAGGCACAGGACCAGGAGCAACATCAGAACCAGTAACTAGCGCATGATGAATGCCGTGGAACTATGAGAAGACGGGATAAACAAATGGAGTAAACTATCAATCTGTCTACCCTGAAAAGGCTTCGCGTCCGCCTCACTTCGCCACATTCGGATCGATCCTCAACTTCAGGCAGTTATTCTCAATAACCCCTCCATGCTTCCCACCCACCCCACCACAATCGCACCCATCCACCACCGCCGCAAAGTAGCGCATACACTCATCCTGACCAGCCACCCACCGACACTCAGCCCCTCCAGCCCCGCGCTCCGTCTTAACCTCAACCGACAGCACAACATCCACGCCAAACACCAACCCCGACGGCTCGAGATGCCACTCGAGGAACTGTCCCGGCGTCCACGTCGGCTCCGCCACGACCCCCCCGGCGCAGAACGTGCTAGCCGCATCGAGCAACGGGCTGCGGTTGAGCGCATGTCCGTGGTTGTAGCAGTCCAGAGAGTTGCCCTGCGTGTCAGGCGTCATTGTCGGCGTCGGCGTCGGCGTCGGGTCACCGCCGACGTCATCACCGACCCCCACGTCGCCTCCACCGTTATCACCGCCGTCTTTGCCGTCCTCTTCTGTGTCGAGAAGACAAATCTCCTCTTCTTCCTCATCGTCGTTGTCGTCGTCATTATCATCATCATCATCGGGGTCACGGTCATCCCCGGGGTCCGGGTCGCGCGGGGGATCATCCGGCCCGGTCGTCCGTCCGCGACCGCCAGAGTTGCCGCCACTTCCCGGTGGGCACGTGAGGGCAGGGAAAAAGCAGGGATTCACTTTTGGGCCTGGTGGTCCGTGGATGACCACGACTGGTGGCGGCCATGAGCCCTTTGGCGGCGGATGGGGCGGGTGGGGTGGCGGGGGACCCGGTCGCGCCGGAGAGGTCGGCCGAGTCTTGTGAGTGCTGCCTTTGTCGTCCGAGTACGTTATGGGTGGCCATGTGGTTGTCGGGCTGAAGGTTGGCCAGATTATAACGAGGCCGCTATCGGAGGTCGTGGTGCTTGTGCTGGTTGGTGAGACGAGCTCTGGTTCGAAACCCCAGCTGGTGATCGTCATGGGTGGCTTAGTAATGGTCGATGTCCAATCGCCCTCGGTGACAGTCACGCGCGGGAAGTCGATCGTGCTCGTCGCGCCCTTCCACGGCGGGAGCACGAATGTGCATGGGATGAAGCACGTAACAGTTGGGCTGGGGCTTTCCCAGATGGTCGGGTTGATCCAGATGAACTCGTCGCCGTCGCTGGGTTCCTCCCCGCCTCGCAACGGCTGGCCGGCGGGAATGGTAAACGGCTCAGTGAATACGGTCCCCCTGGGGACGATTGTCTCGCCTGGCAGCGCGACGCCGGCGGGATGGTTGGCCCCGTCGGCGTCGGTGAAGTCCTGGTTCGGCACGAAGCCTGCCGGGAGCGGGATGTCTAGCGGTGTCGGCACGTTGGGGGAGATCTCGATGGGATTGGCGACACTGCCCCCTGTGCCACAGCAGGTGGATGTGAGGAGCCTAAAGAAGCTGCACTCCTGGCACACGTTAGCGCCTGGGCCGGGAGCGTCGTTCTGATTGCCATTGTTGGGCAGGATGGCGACGTCGCTACTGATCGGGCCGGTGAGCGTCAGTGTAGCCTGGGGGCCGACGGTTGTGTGCGGCAGCGGGATGATGGTGGCGCTCTCTGGCGAGATGTGTCGCTCGTGATTGCTGACAGCGTCGAAGACGGAGATCTGGGACCACGCCGGATGTGCCTCGATGGCCAGGTTGTCTGTCGCCAGCACGCCGTTTCCCTCCGAGACGACCATGTATTTGGCGCCGATGGTGATGAGGTGCTGTAGCCTCACGTTGAGGTAGTTGTTCTTAAGCAGCACCAAAGCCTTCTGACACTCGTGAGAGTCGATGCAGTCTTGCGTATAGCTGTCGAACCACGAATACAACCCTGCGCCGGCGACGAAGATGTCCTGCGAGCCCTCGATAATGACAGCCCACGATGAGTCGCATCCATCAAAGTCACCACCGCCACTACCTGACATACAGTTGCTATAATTAGGGTCACCGGCCATGACGCCGGCTTCGACGCTGAATGGGAGCGGGGCTGCCGGGACTGGCTGGTAGTAGGGCGACTCAGTCTGCACCATACCAGCAAAGATGTTGCGGGCATTGTGGAAGTTGTACTGGTAGTAAGTCGCGTGTTCCGACGCAGTGCCATACAGCCAGGTGGCGTCCTGGCTCTCGATGAGTATGCCACGTGCAACATAGATAGTCACTTGCTCCATGTCGTTGTTGTTGTCGTCCAGCAGAGGGTCGTCGATCATGTGATCTGCCACCCACAGCCACATATTCTCAAAGTATCCCGACGCCCCCTTTGTAATGTGCATCATGGCGCTGGCGGCCTGGCAGCCCGGCGTAACTCCGCCGGGAAGAGCGGGGCACTCGGCAGGTGTCAGCTCGGTGCCTGTAGCACCGCCGATGCGCACATGGCAGTCCCAGAGCCCGGCCGAGCCCTGGTTGGAGGCCTTGATATTCCACTCGACGAGGATTGCGCCGGGAGTCGCGCCCTGGGTCGTGAAAAGCAGGTCCTGCATCTCCACGCTACCAAACTCGCCCTTCTCGCCGACACGGAGCATCACCTTTGGGTTGCTTGCATCGCCGAAGTAGGAGCCCTTGGCTGCGAACTGCGACCATGTCTCGCCCACAAGTCTAGTGCCCGATGGGACTGAGACAGTGCCCGTCAGGATATACGTCCCCGCGTCCACAAAGATGATCTTGCCGACGTTTTGGTTCAAGGCAGTCTGGAAGGCCAACGTATCATCGGTCACTCCATCGCCTAGGAGAGCATTTCAATGTCAGTGGGTGGTCAAGAACAACTGCCGACGGGGGGGGGGGGGGGGGGGGGGAAAAAAAAAAAAAAAAATGGATAAACAAACCCATTGCCCCCCACCCCTTAAGCCACACAAAAACCGACACCGAATTGCCCGCGGACTGCGGCTTCGGCCCCACAAAGTACGG